AGTCGTGGCCGCGGTCTCGCGTGGGGGGGGGACGCTGGCGGAGCTCCGTCCCTGCGGGGAGCGCTCGCTTTGAGCGCAGAGGGGGTGGTGGGGTGGGAAGAAGGAGCCCTGAGACCGCCCGGAGATGCTCCTGAAAGCACCCCGGGGGGAAGGCGGTAGCGTTGCTCATGCCTCGGCAAAGGATGTAAGGTTTCGTTTTAACGCCGTTATTTGTGAGCTCTTCTTTTTTCTTTTTTTTTTTTTTTTTTTTGCGCACGAGGTATTCTTTAGCGGATGCACTTTTATGGTGCCGACTGACATGCACCTTCTGTTTGGTTTTGGCTGGCATATATTAAGTCAGAAGTATTTTTAACGCCGCTTTGTCTGTGAAGGGGGTTGTTTAAACAGACATTGCAGTGCACGCCACTTTGTAAGTCTAGTGCTGCTGTATCCATCTTCGTTTAAGGATGTGAGCAAAGCCAGATTTGAAGGGACTGGTGACCTTTTGTTAGACCATCTGATGTAGCTGGGGAGGAAAAAAGGATAAGATCTGGCACCCATCTTCTAAACAAAGGTAGAACAGGAGTGCTTGTGGTAATGGAACAGGTAATGGAGAGGCTAACCAAAAGGTAACTGGTTTTAGAACAAGAAATACCAAATGGGGAGAAACGAACAACGTGAAGAGAAAGCTTTCATCTCTTTGAAGGAAAAAAAATCTTCCTGCTCCATCTTTCTGGAGCCCAGTGTCTACATTGATAATGATCTTTTATATTATTCCAAAACTAATTTAAAGTTTTTTTTTGAAATAGGAGTGTTTCTGAAGCGCATTAGAAAGCAGTACAAGTCAGCTCAGATGTGTTAGAATTACTGATCTTAGTGGTGGGCTGAGCCTCTGTGTTTTGCAATAAACATGCAGGACTTCTCAGATGCAGGACTAATAAACATGCAGGACTTAGGCTCAGATGGTTATGTGTGAGGCAGCCAGTAGTCTGAAAACTAGTCTATGCTTAGAACAGAGAAGGTCTTTATTTTTTTGTAATGTTATTTCCAAAAGCTGTACTTGTGTGGTGCATTTAAGAATGCAATTTGGTGCAGCTAAGCCAGCTAACTGCTAGCTGCTGTCAAAAAGGGTGGCCCGCTCTCTGCCCCAATTCTGCACTCTTTCTAGCACAGCTATGCGTATGTGTGGACTGGTTAATGGTGTGAAATTGTCAGAAAACCGGCTCTGTAGGAACACGAGCTGTGTTCTGTCATTTTCCGTCTCTGAAACAGGTTGTCATGGGTGTTTACCAAGAGGGGCTGTTGGGGTGGAGGGGCAGGACTACCTATTTTGGCGACTGCTGAGCTCTTGGGAAGAGATAAGCATTTCTTAGGAAAGACCCAAACCAGCAGTGGTCTTACATGGTAATTTTAGTGATTAGCACAGACTGTAAAGCCAGATGACCTTTTATTCCTGCCAGCTATATGTGCTGAGTAGTTCAGTTTATGTATCAGATCCTTTATCTAAATGATGCTCGTACCTTGAGAAGTTTCATTTGTGGATTGTTCTGAGATTGCTTTGCCCCTTTTTTTGAGGGGAGGGGGTGATAATGAGCCTTAGACACGTATGAAGATTAGCTTGTGTTACGGAGACCTCTTTTTCTAACTATTTTATTGGAGTAACTATTCCTTCCACCCTCACGCGACTTGTTAAGAGGAAACTGGGATTGTGGGAGAAACTGTCTTGGGGAAAGAAGAAGGGAAGGAGAAGGAAGGAAAGGAAAGAAAGCTGCTGCTTCTAGATTTACGTAGCCTATGTTCTGCCATTCCAGCTGCCTAGGAAATCATATGTGCTGTGTTTTTTACTTAGTACTGCTGCTCCCGATCCAACTTACCCTTGTTTGTCAGTCTGTGATGAGTGAATGTTTTGCATATCCATTGTCCTCATTCCACTTCAGAACCTGCAGGCTGTTCAGGTGGAAATCTCTGGAGTTCTGCGCGCTCTCCTTTCCCTGTAAAAAGTTGCATTCCTGTCTACGGTGATCGTTGCAGCTTTCCTGAGCATCAGCAAACGGGAAGTGAACGGATTCTCCTTCCCTCAGGATTCTGAGAACAGCAACGGAAAATGATAAGAAGTGACAGCCCCTTGGAGAGCTGTTAATATGAGGCTAGAGGACCCAAAAACTCGCTGAAAGTATGTTCGCTGGAAAAGCGTACCTGCCAGGAGGCTGAAAGGTGTCAGAGTGGCGGGCAACAGCTAGAGAGTTATGTCTTTGTGTGGATGTTTTTCTACTTCTCTCTGTTCATTTTAAAAGAAAGAAAAAGGAAGAGAAATGTCCAAATTGATTACTTGCCGGTCAGAAATAGATCCCAACGTTCTTGTGCATAAATTCAAGGCAGCAGGTTCATAAAATTATTACGTCCTTCTTAGCGTTTTTTACTCCTGCTTCAGTGGTGGGGAAGATGGAACTGATCCTTTTTGTCTTCCTCTGGCTTGTATATCTGGGAAGTATCTTGCACCGGGCACTTAGAAATATGTAGAATTTAAGGATGCATTCCATATTTCAGTTATTCAGTTATCGTTATGGATTTGTGCAGTGTAGTTTCCTTTGAAAGTAATTTTGTTTGGATTTTAATGGGAACTGAAACACTTCAGAGGGTGTGGTGTGTTTATTTTTAGTGAAGGTATTTAAAACCCAATTTTGTTTTCAAATATTTTTCCTGATTTTTGGCATAATTCTACTCTTTACAAAACCAACAAAAGAATCTTGCGTGAAAATTTTCTAAAACACTGATGTTCCCGGGTTATTCCCTCAGGAAATATTAGGATTGTGCAACTGCACTTTTTGTGATACGTATTATGATAGCTTTAGTTGCGTTACCTACCATGTGTTTTTCCCAAGAACCTCTACTTTGTTCAGAGTATGGGATGCCGATGACTGAATAGGCAGCTCTTCAGTATTCTCTCTATATATGTCTATAGCTTTGCCATATAAACTGTGTACTCTTGAAACTTGGCTGTTAATTAATTCTTAACTCTAAACTACAGCAGAAACTCTAACTTCTACTGGATTTCAGACGAGTATTTCCAGGAAAGCTGGTCTGCATAACAAACAACTGCAATCTGAATGGTTCATTTGAGTGCTATAAAGAAACGGAAATTACAGTCAATTTGGAAATTGTTAGGCATCCTTACTTAGGGGGCCAATTGGTAGCACCAGCAAATCTGTTTTCAGTGATTTGTGCAATGCCCTAAGGTACAGTATGCATGTCTGCTGATGTTTTGGAGCTTGCTCCGTTAACTATGTAGCTAGTATGCTGTTATTTAAACCTTTTAGAGGTGCATATGAAGTGAGTGGTAAAGGCAATGTTTTTCAATATTACCAAAGTTGTAGACTTTAAATGGTTAATGCTGAGTTGGTTAAATACCCTTGCAGATCTCTTATACTGTTCATAATTTAGCTGTAAAACACAAATGTTGAGTTGGAGGGGGAGCGTTTGTTTTTGGAATGTGTGGCTGTTCTAGTATGGATTTATGGAGAAGGTGGGACAGCTACCTAGCCCATATTGACCTTCTCATTTCCTCTAAGCCGTGCAACACATCCATCGTGTATTAGTGGGATGAGGCGGCAGTGCTGCCCATCTCCCTCTCAGTACTGTCCCTCTGGACAGTCGTCAGTTGAATGAGTGTATCCTCTTGCATTGAGGTTTTTAGAACTTGTATGTGTTTTTAGCATCCTAGTGAAACAAAGGCATGTGGCTGTTGCTATGTCATATCTAACAGTTAATTATGATGCATCATCTGTATGTTCTTAAGGAAAGACTCTTCAAATGTAAAATTATAATGTAATTTGCAATGTAAAATGACACAAGTGCCTACAAATTCTCCAGTTCGTTTAGAGGTGAAGCCTTGTGATACTACATTTATTTTTTCCTGGGACAATGCTCTATTAGTAGTTATGTCTCTTTCAATTTATTCATGCTTTGAAGCTTTATTGATAGGGCTTTTGTTTTCGTTTTTTGAGTGGGGGTGGGGTGGGGAAAGGAAAGGTCAGACTCAACAAAAAATATGCAGGCTGTAATGTGCGTTCTTGCCAAACACATTAGTTGGTAAATACTGAATTCGGCTTATGAAAAAGAGGGGGTAGTTCTATCTCTAGTTTTATTAAAAAAATATAAGGGGTGCCTCATTTTTACTTTTCTCCCTAAAGATATTAGGCTTAGATCTGGTTTAAGCACAGAAAGGGAACCAGTTTGTTTAAGGTTTATTTTATATCCTGAACCGGAACTAATTTTTCATTGATCTGTCTCCTAATTAAATGGTATGGAGCAAGTCGTAACATGGATGTTACGGGAGAACTCATGCATTCATTGTGGGGTGGAGATTGTGTTCTCATTTTACCCACGCGTCATTTAAGGCCACCCTCACTGCCCTGGGACTAATTAATTCCTTTTGGGAAGGCTTTATTTCCAAATGGCGAGCCCGAGATTCAAAATTTAGTGCTAATTAATATATCTGACTGAGTTTTACTGGAGTGTAGAGAAACCTGGAGGAAAAGGAGTTGGGTGGATGGATACTTTTTGTTTGTTTTTTCCCCTCTGGTCTAGTTTCTTGGTTAGGCATACTGTGAAAAGAAGTGGCTTTCTGCTTGCGGCTGCTTCTTACTCTGCTGCTGCTTTGAATAATTTGAAGGATAGAAGGTGGATTGTGCATTATAAGGTGTGCAATTGCATGCTAAGGTGTTTGGATTTCTTTTGAAAACTGTAACTCTCTCGGACCTACAGCTGTTTGGGAAGTTTTGCAGTCCTGTATGTATTCTTTACAACTAAATGATCTGTTTTTGTACCGTAGATTAGTTGCTTAATCTGCAACTCTCTCATAAAACAGCTTTCCTAAAGGAATTTCTTTGTTCCAAATGTGTGTATTAGTGCAGAAATGGAACGGAATGTTAACTTTTGATGTGACTAATGACTTGAAGATATGTAGAACATATCTCTGAATGTAAATCTCTGATTTACATCTCGCTGAAGCAGCAGAAATGAGCAGATTGCTATGGCTTTCAGGTTGAGCTCGCAGTCTT